AGCTAGGGTGTTGAAGACGCCGAAGACCGTGTGTTTCGGGTTTTCTTTTGTAGTCAGATTAGCTTTCCCTCACTGTCCTAGCCAGGTCCATTTTGTTTGTTATTTTCTTTTCTTTGGCACCACTCTAGTTCCTTATCCTTATCATGCTTCCTAGTCCCTCACCAAACCCCCCCTGCTTCCAAAGGAATTATCCTAAATGTTACACCCCTTTTCCCCTAGACACTTGGGATCGTAACAGCGGGAGTAAAACCTAGACCTTATGGTAAGATCAGATCAACAATTTCCAATTGTTTACTGCCACAATGGCTCAGTGGTAGAAAACTTGCCTTTTATGCAAAAGTGGGTTTGATCTCAACTAAAATACAAGTTGTACTTTTAATAAATTGTCTGTTGAGCATAATACTTTCTATAATAATGTAATATTTTGTAAACTATATTCACATTTCTGTTAATTGTTTATATCAAAGTATTACTAATATTAAAATAATATTAATAAAAAGTAATAACATGGATGAACGTCCAGACTGACAATCTTCAGGTTGCTTGAAAAGAGCAAGGGAATTTAAAAATGATCTTAAACAGAAATTGCAAGTTTTTTTTATTTTTATACAATATTTAAATACTAATTTGAAAGCCACTGTCTATATTTTATACATTTTAAATTACATTTTAAACGCCCTTTTTCTTCTTATTAGTTGATATTACCAATTGGTTTCATCAACGTTTTTAAACTGCTTTCTTGTGTAGCATCTATTTCAGCTTAACTTTTCTGATGTTTTGTCTGTGCATTGTCTCCTCGCAGTGGAGAAACTAGTTGGGGACAGTGATTTTATTTTTACTTTGCTTCTTGTCTGACCATTTGAAGAACATTTGGAACCATTTTTTTATTTTCTTTGTAATACCACTTTGAAGAGTAATGGAAATTGAAACTTAAATGTAAATAAAATAATTGCTAAGTCAGCTAAAACAATTAAATTGAATGAAAAATGTTCATAATTTTAAATAAAAAATGTGTTATCTAATAATAAAATCAAATTAATATGTATGCTAAATGGATAATTTCACGCAATACAGCATGTTAAATATTTACCTTACTTCATGATCTCTTAAGCGACTACAAGATACTGGGGACATATCAGATAAACTGAGGAAGAGGGCAGGTTAAGCTAATTTCAGCCCCTGCCCCCTGGACAGATTGAGAATGCAATTTGGAGGCATTAAACCATCCAATCTTTACAAAGGGTGCAGTGTTGCAGAGATGAGTGCATTTGCAAGATAATGCAAGGATATGAATTGCAGCAGTCACGAGTCCTGCTCCCACAGCAGGAAAAATATATATTTTGATAAATCTCATAAGAGTAACAAGCTATGTCAAGTTTCACTCTCTTCTATAACAATCGTGACATTTAAAAAAAAAAAGTATTCACTGTCACATTAAAGTTTTCTTAAATCACTTTAAATTTAATACAAAACTGTGGAACCATCAATACATTCAATTTTAAAATCAAATAGTTATTTAATTAAAATAAGATAGGTGGGTAACTGCATTAGCATGCGTAGGCTGCAAAGGAACAAGTAATAGGTTTATTCTATGCTGAAAAGAGAAAAAACAAAATTTCAGCTGTGGAGCCGAACGTTTACACCAGTTGATTACTTCATTAACCAATGCATCAATCAAGCTCCCAAGACTCTTTCTATACCCAGTAAACACAGGTCTAACCTCACCCAAGGAGAAACTCAGGTGCTCCAATCTCTCTGCAATAAAGATGATTTTGTCATCAAACCAGCTGACAAAGGAGGCACTGTTGTGGTGTGGAGAAAGGACCTATACATTATTGAAGCCTCTGGACAACTAACCAACACTTCCACCTACCTTCCTCTAAATCAGGATCCTACCACTGACTACCAAAAGGAAGTGGTATCCATATCTCCCTTCTTATCAGCAGCAAGGAGCTCCCCCAGGAAGCGAACTGGTTCATCATAGAACATCCCCAGATATCCCAGTTTTGCCTCCTCCTCAAAATCCACAAACCCGACACCCCTGGCCGCTCCATCGTCTCAGCATGCAACTTTCCCACTACTCACATCTCGGTCTTTCTTGACAGCCTTATGAGACCATTGGTTGAAGGTCTTCCTTCATATATCAAGGAAACCAACCATGCCCTCCAACTTTTTAATGATTTCCATTTTCAGGGCCCAGAATGCTATGTTTTCACCATGGACATCACATCTCTCTACACTGTCATTCCCCACAATGACCATCTTAAAGCCCTGAAGTACATCCTGGACAAACACACAGTGCTTGATCCACCTACCCACACCCTTGTATGTCTTGCAGAATTGGTACTCACACTTAATGCTTTCTCTTTCAATAACCTTTTTTACCAACAAGTTAGTGGAGTCGCCATGGGACCCAGAATGGGCCCCAGCTATGCCAATATTATTGTTGGCTGGGTAGAAGAACGCTTCTTTGCTTCCTACACTGGCTTTGTCCTGGACCTCTACAAGGAATACATTGATGACTGTGTTGGTGCCACCACATGCTCTAATGACTAGAGTGCTTTCTGCATCATTTCACCAACTTCCACCCATCCAAGCTGTAAACTCAAACTATTACCCTGGTCCACTTTCTTTGTAACCGTCTTTGTAAATGAAAAGGCTTTATATTTTCATTGACAAAAAGTAACTCCACAGCACTTCGTTGATCCGATCACGTATTTGTTTCCAATCATACAAAGTAAGTTTTGAGAATCTCTGATTCACCGTGCCTTTCACATGCTCATAAACGATATTATTTAGGAACATAAACATATTATGTAAACTGTATATGGCTGGTATTGGTAGCTTAAAGAAAAACTACACACCAGTATTCCATTTCTCCCTAAACATTTTAAGCATCAAAGTCTTACATGTGGTTATTTTGGAAACGTTTTTACGTGCTCCTTCTGACCATATTACGTTTATATACTTTGTGAAAAGTGATCATTTTAACCTTTCTGTGAATATGTTCGTTATCAGAGTAAACAAAAGCATACTTTTAGAATTTGATTAATAGGGAATATAATATGGAATCGCATATCTATAGAAATTAATAACGATATAATTATATTCAAGTACTGTAGCACAAACAGTAGTATAAGACTTTCTATTGATATGTGTGCATGATGGCTTAAGTGACTGAATTATAAGGTTGAGGTTGGATGTTCAAATCCAGCTATTACCATGAGTTTTTCTTTTAACAAATAAACATTTCATTATGGACACTATATTGACATTTTTTATATTTCTAAATATCACAACATGTTCGTGCTCTATGTACACAGCGGTACCTCAGGGTGTACGGCACAAAGTTTAAAGGAGGCGATACACAAGTGTCTCCTCTTTAGCTGTTCAGTTTATGGA